GGGGGGGGGGGGGGGGGGGGGGGGGGGGGGGGGGGGGGGGGGGGGGGGGGTGAGACTACGCGACAAGCACTAGGGGTGAAAGGGCGGCAGCAGCGAAACAGAGAAGGGTGACGACAGCGACGACGACGACGATGACGACAACAACCCTGTGTCACCTTTGACAAAGCTGTGAGCGCCGCGACCAACCCCTTCGAAGAACTCGGCCGGCCCTTGCACCAGGCCCTGCGCCGGTGCGTACACGAGAGCCTTAGCGCCGCCCCCGATGTTGCTGATCAAGTCCGCCGGGCTGCCCAACGCGCGCATGGCACCCACGAAGCTAAGCACCTGGTGGGAAATTGCAGCAGCGCCGAATGGTTTCGAAGGTGGGGCGGTGGGTTGAATCGCGGGGGTTGACGCGATGGGAACCAGGAGTAGGGTACTTGTAAGTAGTGGTCCCTGCATAAGCCCGCAGGGTGCCAAGGGATTTGTGAGCGGCTTTCCACCGGGCACTCGGCATCTAGACAACTTGAGTGGTCCATCTGTGTCATGCGATTCCACCCGGTCTTGTACAGGGCGGCATACCTTTTCCTGGCCTTGCCGTATGGACCATTGCTGCACAAAGTGTTCTTAGCATTGCGTCAAACATTCTGCAGGTGGTGTCTAATATCGTGGCGAGACAAGAGCCCAAGGACGACCAGGGCGACCCTGTACCCAACGTGCGCTCTCGCTAGGGAGCCGCTCCACAACTAGTTGCACATGGACTATGGCTGCGGGATGTAGGTGCAGGGGCGGCATATGCACACACACACGTGGTTAGTTTTCCATTGGTTACGAAGATCCTGCGGCGCTCGGCAACACACCCGGGCGTCACGTGCCTCGGAAATCACGGGGGGGTGTCGACGCGGGACAGCTGATGGCACTCAACCGCGGGTGGATAGAGCGAGGTATCATCGCGGGCAGAAGGACCCCATTGCTCGCCTTGCCCAAGGCTTTCAATAATACAGAGCGCGATCTGGCTGGAACTGGTCTATCTCGGCTAGGTGGGGGGGGGGGGGGCATAACATTTTTGTACCTGCGAGGTCGCAGCGACGAAGTAGTGCGACATGACGTTCTTGGAGATGTCTCTGACGGTGCCAAAGGCATCCTCCACCAGGTAGGATGCCAAGTCAACCCGGCTCTTGACCATGGTCGGGATCTTGTTGATGATAGCCCACCCGGCTTTCTTGACGAGTTGCTGAAATTAGCACCAAAGTATGTGTACGCCGATATGAGTGCGCCAGCCACGAACCGAACCGAAACGAAACGAACAAGAAACGTGACGTAGCGAGACGAAATGGAATAAGAATGGATGATGAGAGGTGATTGGGAATAAGTGCCGACAGTGGCCTAAAACAAACTCGTTATGACGGCGCCTTCAAGTCGCAGCTGAGCACGACACCGCACGTTACTGGAACTCAGATTTGGAGAAACGACGGACGTGTCGAACGGCAGCAAAGTTCTACATCGCCGCCTCTTACGGCGCGGAAATAAAGATTGCGATGTTGTCTAACATATGTTATCCTTGGAGGCGACTTGCATGAGGTATCACTCCCCAACTCGATCAGCGTGCAGAGTAGAGCCCGTCCAAAAACAGAACGCACTGAACGAACCAACCGACACTCACGTCCGACGCGGGAGAGTTGACGTAGCTCAAGCGCAAGATGATAGGGTGGAACTGCATGGTCTTGAAGTACTTCCGTTGGATGCGGGCAGTACGCCGGACCTGTGGGGGTATGCAGGAGTGACGACGATGATGCCAACGTGCCGGTTTTTCACCAGGGGGAAGATCGGGAAGAGGATGGAGGGGGTCAGAGATATTGGTGGGGGTTAAGGGAACTCTTAATGAGACGAGCGGCGGTGAGGGGTCTATGCAGAGGGCTGACCAAGCAGGAAAAGCTGGTGAAGTAGGCTGGATGCACGAAGGACTGGGGTAGAGAAGCAGAACCGCACAGAGGACAAGTTGTAACAACGACACGACGCTGTGCTCGACAAGAGCCATAGAAACGCGCGCCCGGACTGCCTGTACGGTCAAACCCATCACAGACCGTACTCCGCCAAGACCGACGCAAACCGTGGTTACACCAAGGCCACAGCGGTCGACCCACATCGCCACCCCAACCCATACCACCCACCTCCTCAACGTCGACAGAGCCACCCGGCACGTCGCGCGAGCCCCTCTCGAGCACTTGCGCCGTGCGCTCGACCACCCAAGCGGGGCTGTCAAGCTGCTGCCTCCACATCAAGAGGTACCCCTGTAGCGGCTTGCACCACACCAGGAGGTGCAGAAGGGTCGCTCGATCCGACATCAAGTCCACCTCCAGCATCCTGCCGGGATATTCAGAAATATTCCCCCAGGGTTTGGGTACGGGTTACCGTTAGATTCAGCAGCCCAAGCAGGAATGCATGAACCCAAGATGAGGCCCAAAAAGGGGGAAGGTGGAAGTTAACAACGCACCAAAGGAGGTGTGCGTTGCTACATATTTGAAAAGGGAACGAGCGCTGTTCGACGGTCTTGACGGAACGGCAGTTGGTTCACTCCATTAGTGTGAATTCAAAGCCTTTCGCGGAGAAACAACCGTTTTTCGCACTTCCTCCTTCAACGGGAAAAAGGTACAGAGAGAGAGAGAGAGAGAGATCATGGCCTTACAAATGATGTTCCGTTTGCAGCCGCACTGAGACTGGCATCGTTCCATGGGTCAGCGGGTTAGCGCTGTCGATACCAACAACAAAGGTACGGACACACACTTACCGGAAGGCGACGTAGTCGTAGTGGGCCGTGTTGGTGGTCTGGTTGACCTCCTTGATGATCGACACCTGAAGGAAGGGCATTTCTTGCTGCGGCCTGCCGCTGCTGCTTCTACCACTTCCGCTCCCAAGGCTACCGCTGCCGCCGCCACGGCTTCCGTCGCTTGCAGAAGGCGGCTCTTCCTGTCTCTTGCTGAGAAGGACGGGATATATGCTGTCCGGGAGGTGGTTGTCCACCTGACAAAAGATTGACGACCGAGCGGAAAGGGCGAGAACGCGTTACTATTCACCGACAGTACACGGCCGCCTTGGTTCGGCTGTGAGAATAAATTCCCCGTGAGTGTCCACCAAGCTTCTCTAGAACCAGAGCAGGTGTACCGCGCCAGAGTTCTTTCGAACACCGAATTTGCTCGAACCGCTATACCTCCAACCGTAGGAGTTACTGCTGTTCCCGGTAATCTGACCATTGCTCCGTGCATCAGAGCAGTGAGCATCCAGCAGAAGCGGCAGCATTTCAAAAACTGTACCTAGAAAAGAGTTTCGCGTCGGATACGGGCCTCTCATCGTAAGGAAGGACCAACACAAATCACGTTCTTCTTCCAAGCGGGAATCGATTCATGTGCAAAGCAGCAAACGGTATGTACCGTACCGTACAGATGTGGTGGCCTACGAGTCCGTCCGAACACTACGGCGGTCGATAAAGTTTGTCCGTGTCACGGTCAAGAACTGCAAGAGGCGAATACATATAAACAAAAACAAGAAATATTTGCATGTCGTCACTTGTCAGTCCGGTCCGCCGGACCTCGGGGCAACGGAAAAAAAAAAAGCGACGGACGCACCTGGAGAGAGCCGATCGACGCTTGTACAGAGGACAACCTGTCCCGCGACAGCTTTGCCCGAACGTTGGAAATCTGCAGGAAAGAGGTCAAAGCAAAAAACAATCAGACGATGTGCATGCACAAAAAACGCAGAGCCGAGAGTACTGGAGAGAAGTTTCATAGACTGCTTCGGTGGCGGATCCACCGCGCAGCTCCGCACTACAAAAGAGGGGGACAGCGTTAGGGAAAATGCAGGCTGCAGGATTTTATCATGTGTAATCGCATCCGTTGTGAGAGAATCAAACGTAGCCAAGGAAGGAAATCAACGTGTGACCTAGAAAATGGCCTTGTGATCGAAAGTGCGCTAATTTCCAGGCCCACGACAGCTTGAGCGAGGAACGGGGAGTGAACGGGCCGACTTATCGTCCCCCGCTGGCTGATCTTCAAGAACCAGACAGTTTGATTATATGACAGGGAGACATCATCGGGATGAGGGGCATATGTGCACCGCAAAGGCTTAGGACATGACCGAAACTGATTACTCCCATTAACTCGCCTGAGAAACAGCATGGGTCTCAGATGCCGACGCACCCCTCTCCCGCACACAAAACATGTACCTGTGCATAAAGCAGTTCTTGACGACGACCATCGATCGGTCCGATCAGGCTCAACCCGAATCCGCGCATGTCTACAGCCACCTCCAGCGCCGGCGCTTCGCTCTCGCGCTTAAGCTTGCTTGCAGCTTCCTCCTCGCTATTCAATTGCTGCCACTGCTGCTGCTGGAACGGCTGTCCTTGGTGCTGTTGTTGGTATTGCTGCTGCTGCTGCCCCTGTTGCTGCTGCTGCCGCCTCTGTTGTTGCTGTTGCTGCTGCTGCTGCTGCTGCTGCTGGCTCCCGTCACCACCGACGACCCCTCTCCTCCGGGAGGGGGGGCGGGACGAAATATGGATAACCTTGGAGGCGCCCTTTACGATAACGCTTGCCCAAACGAAGCTCGGGCCCATAGCGCCACTTCCAGTGCCGCCGACACCCCCGCCCCCGGCGGCGGCTCCCCCAGCCATGGCCAACCCAGTAGGAACCTTGACGTAGTTCCCGACTGTATCGGTGTTGAGCTCGACGGCGCGGGTCCCCCTTCCAGCGTAGATGAGCAGGCAACGCGGCGCGGCGGGGTAGCACCACCCTATCTGGCGTCTCTCTCCCGACTGGAGCTTCCAGACGTCCTTAGCAGTCACGGCGTTTCGCCCCTCCCGGTCGGCGACGGCCTGGTGGAGGTGTACTGTGACGGGGCTCGCATTGTGTGCGGAGTAGATGGGGGCGAACCGCCCGTTGGCCTTCCAGAAAACGACCAGCAAGGAGTACTCGTCGACGAATGGATCGTCGGCGAGCTGTACGTCCACGTGCACCACCGTCTGTTCTCCCCCGGGTGCGTCCAGCTGCATCGGGCCTCCGCCGCTGCGCCCGCCGGCCCGCCCGTCGCGATCTTGGTTCTGCCCGACGAAGGGAACGTGCACGGCCGTGGTACCGACCCGGTTGATGACCACGTCGCCGTAGCTCCATGCGGTGCCCTCCGTTCGAACCCTTACGCCGGCGCGTTGGTTCCTCCCGAGCATCCAGTGCCACGGGAGCCGTCCGCCCGGCGGAATGTAAATGGCGCTGGATTCGGGCGCCCCGGCTTCCTTGAGCCAGATGTTCTCATCCCCGAGCAGGTTCACCATGCAGAAGCGGGGGACCACGGTGACCTGGGTGGTGCGGTGGAACGTGCCTGGGCACACCTCCGCCCGGAGCGCTAGCTCGTAGACCTCTCCCTGGGTGCCCTTGACTTGGAACACTCCGTTTGCGCCACCGGGAACGTCGAGCTCGTCCGACCACGCGTCCTGCGTCAAGCGGCCGAAACCGTCATCGCCGTAGACACCGCAGACGCCGCCGTCGATGCCACGCCCCGCACCTTCAGGCACCGCCACCCGCAACCGCTCTTTCGGAACGTTGCAAAGCGCGAGGCCCTCTGTGCCGAGGGTCCACGACTCCAAGAGTTCCCCCTTGCTGTTGATCTTGCGCTTGACGCCGCCGGAGGTGGATGTTCCAGCCGCGGCGACGTCTTCGGCGGGGACGGCTCTGGGAGGGGCGGCCTCTTGCCCCTCGGTGATGATCACGACGTACATGGTGTCCGCCTCGCTAGCCCTGTTCCCGCCGAGGTCGACCCAGGAACCCGCGGGGACGTCGCGGCTCCACACCACAAGGGAGCACTCCGCGATCTTACCCTTCCTTGTCCTTTGAGGCATGTGCACCCGTGTGGCCGTAAGGCGGAACGCGGACGTCAACCAGCTCGGGGGGTACGAGCAACGGCGATCGAACAGCACGTGCACCGTCGAGGCGTCCGCCACCCTGAACCTGAGAAAGCGCTGACTGTCGTTGTTCTTCTCGGAGCAGGAGGTACGGATCATGGTAGCTCCGCGGAACGCACGAGGCAGCGAGTCCTCCTTAAACACGTACTCGCGGTCGGTGTAGAGGAGGCCACCGACAGTTGCGATGGACACGACACACCCGCTGGTGCTCGCGCAGGACACCTGCTCCACGCGGGACGCCCGAGCCTGACGCGGCTGTTCGACTTGTCCCCTCCCGCTGGCTTCGCTTTTCGCCACGTCTTGTGTATGGATCTTGTTGCCGCGGACCACCGGCACCGGAAGCCTCCGCCTATCGGAAACCCCGAACCCGAGCCGCAGACCCGACCGGTCCACGAGCCAGTGGGTGCAGAACACGTGGAGGCGTAACGCTGGGCAGAACGCCCCAACACGCGGTTCGAAGAGGCACCGCATTTCAAGATGACCACGCTCTCCGCCGCCGCCGCTACCCCCGCCATCGTCGCGTGAACACGGAAGCTTGAACGTCACGCCTCGCGTGGCCCAGCGTCCCGCCCGCAGCTCCTCCCGCGTCAGAGGGAGAAGTTGAAGGGCGGAGCTCCACTGGTGGTGCCCGATCTTGATGCCAAACTTGGCGCCGTCACCGACCTCGAGGGTGTGCAGGTAGGCCGTTTCCGCCGTTTCCACCCTACCCGATTCCAGCAACCTCGCGGCTGACGTTTGAGCGGCGGGAGCACGAGCGGCTGTCGCTCCCCGAAAGGGCGAGTCTCGACGAACCGCTGCCGTCGAACCCGCTGGCAAAAACGCCCGGAAGCTCAGGGGGCAAGGGAGGGCGTTCACGACGGTCACGGGTGGTAGGACGGTCATGACAACACAGCCCTCCGCAGTGTTCTCCGCGTGCACGGCGAATTTGATGGCGGCCAGCGTCGAATCCTGCTGTCCTTCACTCCCGGCGCCGATGCCGTCACCCAAGAGCTGGCGGCACGACACCCAGTCGTCGCGAGAGGTGTCCACGTTATTCGCGAGCAAGGCTAGCGGTGCGCTCCACTCGAAGACCTTCCCCTCCTGTGAACATTTTCCCCCAGCACGTCCTCCGACAGCGATGGACGAGAACCCGTCGGTTGACGAGCCTGACGACGAGGTCGGCCGCAGCTGCAGGTGGCTGGCGTAGACCATCATGACGGGAACGTCCAGCACGCACCCGGGGGCGACAAATCCCAGGGAGCGCCTGCCGGGGCCTTCGGAGATGTCTTCCGTCGCCGGCCACACGGAGCACAGAGCGCGCACCTCCAGGGGGAGGCCAGTGCTGTTCGCTAGCTGGACCGTGGAGCGGATTGTCGCCTCGATGCGGCCCTGCGGGGTGACGTCGATCTGCCAGGCGATGTGCAGCGGGCGGAAGGGATCGTTCATCGGCAATGGCTTGGGCGCGCGGGTGCGAATCCACTTGCGCCGCCGCGCCTGGTCAAGGTCCCTGCGAGTCCGGCTGCTGGCGATGAGGTTAAACGACGCCATCTCGACGCGGTACTCCCATCCAGCCTCGTCGATTTCTGTGCCAACTGCCTTGGAGAAGTCCACGTGCCAGTCGTCCCTCCACACCCACAACCTCTCGTCGGGTAAGGCGATGGACTCCAGGGGCCTCTCCCGTCTGTCCGCGGGGTGGCCGTGTCGCCAGTCCTTTGTCGTGAACTCTGGCCCGTCGTGGCTCATGTACGGTGCCGACCACACCCCAGTCATCATGTTGTACCGCTGGTACTGGAAAGCTTCCACAACAACGGGGGCTGAAGCAACATAGCTAGAAGGCATCGGGGTAGTAGGCAAGAGCGGGAACACGTGAACCCCCTTGCTGTCCACCTTCAGGGGCGGCAAAGCCTCCCGCGTTCTCTGCATATCCGGGTCGTCCCACGTGACCAGCGCCGCCTTTCCGCGAAGATATAGTTGCCCCGCAAGCGCCTCATCGCCGCGCGTCTCAAAGGGGAGGTGCACGACGCCCTTTGCCCCGAGCTTGAGGCGATTCTGGGGGAAATCCGTCGTGCCGACAACAAGCTCGAGCCCGGTCTTGTTCCTGACTGTCACGGTGCCTTCCCTGAGCCCCTTGAGGCTGGGCACGGAATCCTCGATGCGATGCAGTGTGCTCGGTTCAGAAAGGTCAATCAAGGGGGTCACCGACTCCAAGGCAAGAGCCGCACCTCCCGTTGCTGATGGGGTGCTGCCGTTCCCTCGCTCGATTTTTTCGTCAACGAGGGCGAACGGGTCGTCTTTCGCACCGCCGTCGCTGAAGAGCATCCAGTACGTCGACAGGAACGACTCCATGAAGTCGGCCGTCACGTCGAACACCACCACCTTCTCGCACGAGAGATTCACCTGCACTGTCCGCCTCCCCTGGAAGTCCGCCCCAACGGTGGCGGTCAGCACCGGCTGCCACGGCTCACACAGGGGCTCCCACCTCACCACCTTTACGTTGAAAAATATCACCTCCATGGTGCCCGAAACGTTCAAGTGGTACTCCTCCTTGAAACCGTTCCCCTCGGCCTTCAGCTCCCGCGAGGAGAAGCTGAGGACGGGCACCCCTTGCCCTTCGTAGTCGTTCACAAGCACAACCCGGGCGTTCGAGCAGCGGGCCGAGAATGACACCGCGACCATGTTCGACGGCTCCAGGCCGGCCCTCGTCGCGGCCTTCATCGCGGCGACGCGCGCTTTCTCCCCCTTGCCGCCGCCCGGCCGGTCGCTTGTGCCCTCATATGTCTCCGGCAGTATGCTGCTTAACAGACCGGCACGCCCATCGCCGCCCCGTTCGTTTCCCGGGCCGCGGGATGACGCCTCGTCGTTGTTCGCAAACGCGGACGAGACTTTATCGTAAGCAGTAGTGGCACGTTCTGCGATGGCCTTGACCAGCATCATGTCCGTATAGGAAATCCAGGTGCGGGTGGCCTGGACCACAACGTGAAGCTTCGCCGAGAGCAGCGCTCCTTTGGCCGACAAGAGGACAGCGCAAACCTCCGCGGAGAAGGGCTCCAGCACCTGGCTGATCCTGCGGTCTGCAACCGCACCGTTGCTGCTGCCGCCTTTTGGAGGGGTGTCGACCAGGCACTCGGTTTTCAAGAGCGAGAGGTCGAGCCTGTCCTCTGTGCTGTCGCCTCCTTCCCCCGAGGTGACCGAGCGCGTGAAAACGGCCAGCCAGCTTGCGCGTAGCACGACGACCTTGCTGCTCGCCTTGGACGGCTCCTCGATAAGGTTGATCCTCCAGTCATCCAGCTCCAGACGAGCTCGAATCGAACCAGGTGACGCCGCAGCCGCCGCAGTGGTCGATCCCCCTGGTTGTCTTCCTGTCCGCGCCCTCCCCGCCGTTCCGCCGTCACGACGGTACCGAGAGGCCTCGTCAAAAGCGGCCGACTCCAACATGCTTGACTTCTCTTGTTGGCCCCGCGCTAGGTAACCACTGTCCATCGCCGGTGTGCTCTGTATGCCGCGCATGGGGAAAGAGAAAGAAGGGGTGACCACCGAGAAAAGCTACACCCAAGTGTTGACCAACGACAAAAGCTGTACCTATGTTTTACCGTTGAGCGTTGTTTTTGCTTCCACTCTTTGCAACCATTGCTGTGGCTCGAAAAAACTTGAGAAACGTGGTACCTCGGCACAAGACACCCTGGAAGTATGTCGCGGTGGAAGAAAAACACGTGGCCCTTGAGGGTGGGTGGGTGTACTCTGCATTTGCTTTGCAACGCCTGACGAAGCCGCATCTGTCTCATTGTACGGCGAAAGGCCTCCACGTACCTCCGACCCATATTCTTCCCGCTCTTCCAAAGCTGAGAGAGCCCACGACGAACCAGGACCAGCTTCAACTCGTCCTTGCGCCCCCCATCCTTCACTGGGAGTGGTGTGCTCATGGCTTCGATCCGCCTCGCCGCTGCCCAGCATCTTGAGTAGAGCTAGGTTAACCTGGTGCAAGACCACCAGACACTCCTTGATTGGGTCTACCATAAAGTTACACGCGAAGCTTGCTAGCTTGACGCCCGCGTCCAGGGCTCCATCTTCACCGGCCTTCTTAGCCGTTACGGTGACCAAAGGGGCTATGTTGACGCCGCCGCCGCCGCCGCCGCCGCCGCCGCCGCCACCCCACCCGCCAACGCCGAGCCCGCCCCTAATCGGCCTCAGGCCTGCTGCCCTCTCGGCGAAGCCGCTAGTACTACCGAAACTGCCACCTGCTTCGCCGTGAGTTTTGCCCCTCGCAGATGATGCTAAGGGTGCCAAGATGACCGTGAAGGGGTTTCCATTCGCTTCTGGCCGGACATCGGTGACAAGAATGTCCGCCAGGGTCACCAGCGCATTCATCCCGCCTCCCTGAATAAGTGTCGTTTCGAAGAAAAACCGAAAACGAGACGGCGAAATGAAACTGTCGTCAACCGGGCAACACCTGACTCCAAGGGTAATGTATTGGAACGGAAGGCCGAATGGGCGCCAAGGGGGGGCATATTGTACGTCGCCAACGCGCTCGTCCCGCCTCCACATTACTCATTCCCATCTCGGCACACACAACAGCTACCCATGTTGGAACATTTGTAGGAATGTTTCGCCCCCGATGAAACACAAGGATTTGAACGTTTCTGCGGTGGTCGCCGTTGAACAACGCGCAAGTTTGAGTAAAAGACATATCGCACCATGCTCCACATTTGAACGTCAACGAAGAATGAAGAAGCAAAAACAATTTGGTGTCGCCCTCACTCACCCCCCCCTCGTTGGAACTGTAGGTCGTGTTTAGGCCCGAGATACCCGCCCGCATCACCGTCTCCCAGGGGTCCGATCGCACGAGCTCGACGAGGACCGAAGTTAGCGAGGCCTTGGCGAGGATCGCCTTTGGTCCTTCGTTTGTCGAGGTGATGCGGTTGGCCATGTTGAAAATGTGCGAGCCTGCCGACCGCACGGAGCGGGTTTCGTCCATCCAGCTCTTTGCCCTGTTGAACCCACCACCAACACCACCACCCGCCGCCTGACTACTGCTGTGTTGGGATTCGTCCTGCCTCATTACCGCCCGGTAGAATGGGGTGGCCTTGATGACGGATTCCTTGTCAAGTGCCATCTGAAAAAACCGCACGCGGTCGACACGTTTCCAAGCAGGAGCGGCAAATATTTTTTGAGATACACGGGACAGTTGTAGTTTGCCTCTGGCGTCATTGAAGCTTAAACGTGCAATTATCCAGAGAAGCCAAATGCACTAGGTCGGAGAGGGGTCCGCGAAAACGTACAGCGCCAGAAGGGGAATAAGTGGATTGACTGCCCGTGTACCCCGTTACATTTATTTATCCCGGCGTGGGCAGCGCGTGGCTTCAAACTCGGGAATGAGCGAAGCCTGCTCTCCGCAATGCATATGTGTGATGTGCGCACGCTGCGCGATTCTGGTCAGAGACTGCGGGGAAGAGGGCAAGAAGGAAGCGCGTCGCAAGTGTTGAAGTTTTCTGCCTACGTAGCGCAGGGAGTAGACCAAGGATGACCCCACCTGAAGCGTGCTGAACCGAGCATCCAGCACCATGTCGTACTCCTTCTGGTTCGTGCCCGCGATCGACGCCGGCGGCACGAGGGCCACCCCTCCCATGGAGGCCCAGTAGGTGACGTGTATCAGGCCGCCGTGGGACGTCTCATCCGGCTTGGAGTAGATCATGTTCCTAAACGGAGATTCGTGCGGCCTGGCCCTGTCCTGGACCGTCACGGCGTCCAAGTGGAGTTGTACGGTTATGTCCCGCAGCGTGGTCTTGACGTCCATCGACATGCCTTCGAACCACAAGAGCACGGGATTGATGGAAGAGAGAACATTGACTCGCGGCGGGGGGTGTTGGCTCAGCATGGTTGGGTAAGGTTCAGCAGTTTGGCATCGTCGCGGATAGTTTGGCGATCGGGTGAACATACAAACGCGATCACTTGGCACTTCGGAAGCGGAAGTGTCCAACAAGCTACTTCAGTTCCACAAAACGCCGGACAAACGCGCACCCGCCGCCTCCATGAGCAGTCCGTTGTCTCTTTGCGTGGCGTCCTCATCCTGTACCAGCAGCAAGCCTATCGTGGGCAATTTCATGTGAAGCTCCACGGAAACCAAGGGTTCCACCTCAACGTCCTCCTCTCCCGCCGAGCTATCCACCTCAATCGCCACCAACCCGTCACCCTCCCCCATCCGCTCGACCCCTAACCCCCCTCCCCCGGTGGAGGTGTTGGGTGCGGCAAGACCCACGGGCGGCCCCCCTCGCCCTAGGTCGGCCTTGGTGACGTAGTCCAGCACGCGAAGCAGGCCGCGAATCTTCACCGGCGACATGACGCCTCTCACCCCGGGCATCACCTCCACCACAAATGCCATCCCAGGCTTGGAAATCCCTCCGCCGACCGTCACATCCGCCTTGATCTTGAACGGTTCGATAACCGCGTCCATCTCGCTCCGCACTAGCAGCAACGACCTCTCCGCGGGGAACCTCACGTTCATGTCGCTGAGCTCGGCACTGTAGGCCATGGCCCCGCCCTCGACGCTCCCGCCTTCGACCAGCAAGTGGCCCATGTCCAACAGCACGAACCCAGCGTCGAGGGAGGACGATACGGGTACGACCACTCTGGGAGCCGCGACGTCCAGGGATATGGACACGGACAGCCGAGGTAGCTCCTTCTTCGTCTTTTCTTGCGCTGCCTCCAGCCCCTTCGTGGCGTTGGACATTGCCGCCTTGGTCTCCGCAGGCCGGGCGCTGAAGACGCTGACGACCGCATCCACCACCTCCCTACGAAATAAATATATTTCGTGCGTGTTGTGTATAAGAAAACGGAGAGCGACGAGACAGGAGGTATAACTAGCTTCGAAAGCACCTTCAACTAATTTTGGTTGACGGATACATGCACGCGATGACAATTGGGACACTATATTTGACAAAAGCCTTCCGTATTTCAGCCTCAGCGGGGGTGCTGACAGCAACAATAAATAGGCCATGACGTGGCGTGGCAGGCAGGACACGCAAGCAGCGCCAGGATGGTTCAAGGCAGGACCAACACCAGTGCCGGATAACCCGTGCGAAGTTTGAAGCGGAAGTTACATTGGCTACCCTCGACGACGAACCGAGCTTCAACAGTCAGAATGAATGTGGTCAAAGGGCGATTAAGCGAATATAAACCTTCATGTCTCCTCCTCCTCCTCCAGCTCCCTTTGTCCTTGGCTTGCGCCAAAAGTCAAAATACTTGCATGTCCCACACCATTGACTCTCAATCTGAGGTCTCGGGGCTACTAGTTATCATGAGGTCTAGGTCAGCCGAGAGGAACAGTATACGCTGGTTGCGTTCAATGGAGACGGGGGCGTACTCTTATGTTTGCATGCCTTAGCGGTTAGACCATTGACCACGCGTCCTCGAGAGGACGGAGTCTTGTTCCCACAGGACCGATCACCGATGGCCAATCGTTCCTTTCTACTTTGCCAAAGGTGGCTCAAAAATGTCTTCCCTTGCCTGCCTATCCTAACGACATCCCTTCCCGCCTTTTCAACCCACCTCCTATGCCCCAGTACAGCTACCGTCCTTTCCTCTCTACTCCTTGCCTCAAACATCTCCCTGTACGTCCTATCTATTTGTCCCAGCTCAGTCACGTACACGTCTCTCTCTTTGTACAACGGACATTCCGCGACTACATGAACACGGTCTTCGCATTCGAAGCCGCAATCACATTTGAACTCGTCGTCTTCGTCGTCTACCGCCCTGTCTTCGTCGACGCTCTCGAAGGCCTATGTCCCCGATCCTGAATTTGACCTTAAGCTTTGTTCCTGCATCCATTGGTCCATGTAGGTAGTCCTTGAACCCTATTCCTTCCTTCAACATTCCGTACACTTCTAGACCC